ATGATTCAAGTCTTGGAATGTCTTAAAACATTTTCTTGCCCCTCATAAGAATCATTTCTTGACATACAGCATTATATTAAGTAGAAGAGAGCCAGGAGTCAGGAAGATCGGTTATTACTTTCAGTTCTAGAATTAGGTAGCTATGTAACATTGAGTAGCCCACTTCACACTTCTCTGGGCCTCATTTTCTATATCTTTAAAATGTATGGGACTGACTAAATTCTCTTTCTGTTCAAAACTATGGCATCTTACCTTTCTACCTCTCTCCAACTCTCTGACTCTCACTAAAACCATTTTTTTTGGTTTATGTTTCCTTATCTATAAAATGGGTCGTTTCCAACTTTAAATCTATGATCTTTCATTTATAGTCTCCAGCCTCTTGACCTCTCCAGCATTTTCCAAAATCCAGCTTTCTCACTACAATTTCACCTGTCTCCCTACACAGGACTGACCATACAGGCTGTCTCTTTAATGATTCAGGAATTAACACCTAAGAAAATCCTCACTGTCCCGTACCCCAACCTTCCATTGCCCTTGCCATACTAATCCTTAATTCTAGGTACCCCTACCACTCAATATTGTGTCTCCTCTGTATCCCTGTAGGAAAAAAAAATTAAAAGAACAGATTTCACCCAATATAAACAATGTATAAATTCAGCTCGTTCTTACTGGTTAGAATTTTCTCTAGTTTTATGACCGTTCTTCCCCTCGATGATTGCTCCAAATATTTTCCTTTTCCCTTAAATTCCCAAATGAACCCCATCCCTTCATTTAACAGCAGATGACTTGACTGAAAAGACTAAAGTTATCAACTCAAATCCTCAAAATTGATCAGCATCATGTCCTCATCTTCCTTTTTTTATAATGTCTCAGGAAAAATAGGTAGTTCTCATTCTTGCTAAATAATTATCCTACAGCATGCCATTAATCCCATAATCTCTGGCTTATTTCTAGGCTCTAGCTCAATTCTCAAGGTCTTTCAAGATAACTGTATGAGATAGCTAGCATGTAGGAGGGTCAACCAGATGAAGTGACTTGTCCAAATATACCTACACATATGGGAAATGACAAAGATGAGCCTCTTACTCCATACTCAGTTTCCTTTTCATTGCAAAACATTTCTTGATTTAATTATCCCCTTTTATGCATCTTTAATCACTTCTTTTCTTTCCACTATCCTCCACCTATGTTCTCATCAATCCCAAAACAAAAAAAAAAACTTTCCCTTGAACATTGTACTTTACCCAACTACCATCTCATCTCTCTCCTCTCTTTCATAATAAACATAACTTTTTTTAAAGTCTATATTTAATAGCCAATACTTCCATTTTTTTCCCATTTCTTCTCTTATAATTTATCCCAACCACTCTACTAAAATTACTGTCTCAAAGGTCATCACTGATTTCAGTCATCAAATCCAATGCTGTTTTTCCCCCCATTCCTCATCTTTGAGGAATCTGTAGCATCAGACATTCTTGAACATGCCCAAAATGAAATAATCTCTACCTACAAGTTTACATTCTAATGGTGGAGATAAGTACACATCTAAACCAATACAGAATAAATACAAATAACTGCAAAGTACACAAATACAAGATAATTTGGGAGGAAGGCATTGGCAGTTGGGAGGATTAGGAAAGCTTTTCAAGCAGATGGTGGTGTTTACTCAGTCTTGAAGGAAGAGAGAAGTTCTATAAAATGGACATAAGGAAAAATGCATTCCAGACATCAGCACTGGCCAGCGCAGACCTATTTTTTTCACCATAAGGAAATCCCTATGCCAATGTAGACTGTCACATTGTCCGCACTCTGTAGTCTAAGTGAATCTCCAAGGGCTCTGATTCTAGGTCTGCTTTCTATATGTATGTCTTTCTTCCCTTCATCTTGCACATGCTAAATGCTTAATAAATGTTCATTCAATTGAATTAAAATTTTTATCTCTGCCTACAGAACCCCTTATCTATCCCCCTAATTTCTCTATTTCATTGAAAGAATTTTCCTATGCACACAGTCTAATTGAGACCCTCATCTTTTCTTATCTAGACTATTAATAACAACTTCCTGATTTCATCTTCCTGTTTCCAGCTTATCCTCTCTCCAATCCTCGCTTCACATTGTATCCACAACCCTCAGTTCTATTCATATTAGTGTACATAAACTTTCAATATCTCTCCAACTGCTTAGCCAACAGAGTAAAAATTTGTAATCCTGACATTTAAAATCCTTCGTATTTTCGGCATTATCTCTAACTTCTCTTTATAAATTGTATGTTCCAGTAAACAATTCCCAAACCCTTGGCTCTTGTTTCACCCTCCCCTATTACTGGGTTTTTGCTTATGTTAAGAATGAACTCCTCCTCCCCTAACCCCAAGTGATTGCCCTATCTTTCTTCAAGACCTAATTCAGGTAATATAGTATTTCCTCCATGATCCCTTTCTTGACCTCATCCCCTGAAGTGAAAATTATCCAGACTTAAATTGGATCTCTCCTTAGCATTTATTTTATTCTTCTCTGTATTGTACTATAGCTATTTATAGACAAACCTTTCCCCTGTAACAACCTAAAATAGTAGTATTCTTGAAAGAAGAATCTTTCTTATTAAAGTCACTCAATAAATCAATGAAGCAATCAATAAATGTTTATTAAGTATTTACCTTGGGCTAGGCACTGTACTTAACAAAAAGGATACAAAGAAAGACAAAAACACGGGTCCCACCCTCAAGGAGAAGACAACATGTAAACAACTAGGTATTATAATGGAGAAGACAACATGTAAACAACTAGGTATACCTGAAATATATACTGAATAGTTGGAACAGTCTAAGACGGGGTGGCATTGGCATCTGCCTGGACCTATAAAGGCCTCCTGTAGTACATGGGTTTTGATCCCAGACTTAAGGAAGTACAGAAAACTAACAGGGAAGTACAACAATGCAGAAATGGGAGATAGAGTGTCATGTTCAAGGAGCTTAGGTTGGCCTGTGATTGGAAGAGAGTAAGGTAAGTAGATTGGAAAAATAATAATGGGTCAAGTTGTAATGAACTTTAAATGATGAACAAAGGAGTTTATACCTGTTTGTGCAGCTAATAGAGGGCCACTGGAGCTCATTGAATAAGACAGAGGAGGAGGGGGAAGACAGAGTATGGGGAAGGTGATCTAGACAGAAAAATCTGTTTTAGAAAAAATAACTTTAAAAGCTGAGGTGAGAAGTAGGGGGCAACTAGGTGGCACAGTGGATAGATCACTGGCCCTGGAGTCAGGAGGACTGGAGTTCAAATCTGGCCTTAGACACTTGACACTAGCTGTGTGACCCTGGGCAAGTCACTTAACCCCGTAGCCTAGCCAAAAAAAAAAAAAAAGGAAGTGGGGATGATGGGGTTAGGATCTGGGCCCCAGAAAGGAAAAAACTCTGGACTCTCCCACAGGGCCAAATCTCTGGTGGTTCCCTGAGGCTATAATCCCATCAACTGGCCTTTCATTGTGGACCTCCCTATGGCCCCAGGTCATTTCTCCATCCTCCCTTGGCCAGTGGTCCAAGTCCCTGGAATTCTATTACCTCATAGACTACTTGGCCACTCCTAGATCCCTCCCATAGGCTTTCTGTATGTAAGGTCCATCTTGTCTCTATTAAGATGCTTAGATTCTTATAATCTAGCCACTGCTCAGATTCTTAAAATCTAGCCACTGCTCAGATT